CTTCCTTCCTTTCTATCTTTCTATCTATCTACCTATCTATCTAAAAGAAGATACATGAACTGATTTTTAGAGGAAAGAAAGTAAGGGAAACCGACATTTGATGTATGCTCTCTAGGTGTTAGAGTTCTGTGTTGGGTAGCCTGGTGGAGTAGAAGACACCTGGGCTTTGAGGTATCGGGGTCTGACTTGAATTTTGGCACTTTGCTGGTTAACAACTATGTGTATTTCAGGAAGTTTTTAAAACTTCTCTAACCCCCAATTTTGCAAGGTTGTTGTAAGGAAAGTGTCTGAAACATAGTAAGTAAGCGTTCAATACATTTTAGTTTTCTTCCTTTAATCCACTGTGGAATAAATAACACAAATATTTAATATTTTGTATTAAGTAAAAGAAGTAGGACTGGAACTGTTTTTTGATTCCCAGCCCTAGAGGAATCTAGAAGTAATAATGACTTTAAACTGGGGTTAATTTGCCTACATTGGTGTCTGAGAGATATTATTATTATTATTACTATTATTATTATTTGCCCAAGCAGATCATACCATTTGTATATTCTCTGTATTTCCTCTTCTCTAGTAGCCTCCCTGTGGGAAACTGCTTCTCCTACCTTTCATGTATATGTTCTAATGAAGGACTGATAACCAGTCAACCCTTAAAGCCTTAATTCTAGAGAAACTAGGCAAAGCCTGAAACGCATTTAAGTGATTGGCAATCAGAGGGTGATTCTCCATTTTGTCCTTTTCCTAATTGTTGTATTTCATTTATAGGCAGTAGGAGGACACAATATTTTTGTCAGTGTACATCATGGAGAAATGAAAAAAATCAGCAATATAAGAGCAATTTAATATCTATATATACATAAAAGCCTAAGTGACCATCACAACCGAACGCACAACTGAACAGGCTGCATGGGGCGACCAGGCCAGCAGGGGGGTTAGTGAGGGATGACCAAATAACTGAGCAGCAGGCTGCAAAGATGGCGGTGCCCACAGCTAATAAGGAGGGAATATGCTAATTGACTGCCATGCCCTCAAAGATGGTGGTGCCCACAGCCAATAAGGAGGGAATATGCTAATTGACTGCCATGCCCTCAAAGATGGTGGTGCCCACAGCCAATAAGGAGGGAATATGCTAATTGACTGCCATGCCCTCAAAGATGGTGGTGCCCACAGCCAATAAGGAGGGAATATGCTAATTGACTGCCATGCCCTCAAAGATGGTGGTGCCCACAGCCAATAAGGAGGGAATATGCTAATTGACTGCCATGCCCTCAAAGATGGTGGTGCCCACAGCCAATAAGGAGGGAATATGCTAATTGACTGCCATGCCCTCAAAGATGGTGGTGCCCACAGCCAATAAGATTGGAGAGGGTGCAGGCTGGGCTGAGGGACCAAACCCCTCCCCCGCCCCAGTGCATGAATTTCGTGCACCAGGCCTCTAGTATTTAAATAATCTTTAGGAAATGGACATGTTTCCCTTGCAAATTCCATACTTTCTTGTGCTAGGTAGCTTCATAATACTAAGGGAAAACTTGTAAACTTCTACTGGTAACTCTGTGTACTTGTAAGCAGAGCTTTAATCACTTTCACTTACTATGCTTTCCAAAGATTCTATATAATAAAAGCCTAATATGCAAACTGACCAAACAGTGGAACATCCAGTGGAACGACTGATCGCTATGACATGCACTGACCACCAGGGGGCAGACGCTCAACACAGGAGCTGCCCCCAGCCCACAGGGCCAGGCGGGCCAAGGCGGGTGCCAGCAGGGCCCCCTCTTCCCTTCTGCCCCCTCCCCCTGCCTTGATCTCCCCGCTGGTTGCCCCACAGATTGGCCCTGATTGCCGGCCAAGCCTAGGGACCCTACCCATGCATGCTTTTGTGCACCGGGCCTCTAGTTAGATAAGATGTAGCTTAAAATAGGTTTCAGACTCCTACTTGTGTGCACGAGTTTCAGTTTTATATCCTACATATGAGTAAAATCATATAGTTCTTAGTTTTTTTTCCTGACTTATTTGACTGAGCATAATATTCTCAAGGTCCATCCATGTTGTTGCAAATGGGAGTCTTTCATCTTTTCTTATGGTTGAGTAACATTCTGTTGTGTATATGTACCATATCTTCTTTTTTTTTTAGAACAAATATTTAAAAAATATATTTTTATTGATTTCAGAGAGGAAGGGAGAGAGAGAGAGAGAGAGATAGAAACATCAATGATGAGAGAGAATCATTGATTAGCTGCTGACTAATGCCCTACACTGGGGATCTAGCCCGCAACCCAGGCATGCACCCTGACCAAGAATCGAACCGTGACCTCCTGATTCATAGATTGACACTCAACCACTGAGCCATGCCTGCTGGGCTGTGTCACATCTTCTTTATCCAATCCTCTATCGAAGGATACCTTCGATTGTTGGTTGTCTCCATGTCTTGGCCACCGTGAATAATGCTGCAATGCGCATAAGGGTGCATATATCTTTGCGAATACATGTTTTCAAGTATATACCCAGAAGAGGGATTGCTGGGTCATATGGTTAGATCTGTTCTTAATTTTTTGAGGAATCATCAGACTGTTTTTCATAGTGGCAGTACCAGTCTACAGTCCCAGCAGCAGTAAATGAGGGTTCCCTTTCCTCCACAACCTCTCCAACACTGAGGGAAGGGGGTAGAGAGCTGGGGGCTAACGAGGGCCTAATATATGATGATAGATGATTATTTGACTTTGGGTGGTGGGCACACAGTGCAATATACAGATTTTATAATGTAGAAATCCACACCTGTAACCTATATGATCCTATTAATCAATGACACCCCAATAAATTTAATTAAAAAAAAAAGGTTTCAGAGTCTGTGTGAATGGCCCTTCAGTAGTGGCAAAGTTTATTATTAGTGAGGAATATGCCCTCTGCTGGCTTGATTCATTTTCAATCAAATCTAATTTTGCCTGAATCTTCTTTTACTGATTTTTCCACTTTCTCTTGCCCATTGCCCCTAAGCTTATATGTAGACTCACCACTGATTGCATTAGAGTGGTCAACACAGGTTTCGCTCAGCATGTATTATTATTATTGCCTTTAAAAAATATTTTTATTGATTTCAGAGAGGAAGGGAGGAGAGAGAGACAGAAACCGGGAATCGATCCATGACCTCCTGGTTCATAGGTTGACAGCTCAACCACTGAGCCACGCTGGCTGGGGGAGCATGCAGTATTTTTTTTAATTGAATTTTATTGTTTAAAGTATTACAGATAGTAGTACATATGTCTCCTTTTTTCCCCCCCCATTGACCTTTCCC